CAGTCAAATGGCATAAAAGCACAATGAACTAGTTTGTGTTGAATCACCTTTTCTGAAGGCGATTCAAGATTGGCTCCAGTCCTTTATGGGCCTTTTCATGAGTTTGGGCTTGGTAGAGTCAGCGTCCATCTGGAAAGCTACAATTAGGAAATGCCACTTCCCTACAGCAACTGACAGTGGTCCCCACAGAAGACCCCAGAGCGGGTGGTTTTTTTTTTCCTCTGTCACAGCTTTCCCATTCACCCCTGGTCAAGACAAATGATGCCCTCATTTATTTTCCAGGATGGTAATTTGTATTGTCTCAGGTAATCTTCAGACGGATCAGCGGGGTTCAAACAGTTTAACTAAAATATGTATGAGGGAGAAATTATCCGTTTCATGTGCACTCTGTGGCTTTGATCTGTGGCATCTGAAGCTGTTGTGTGCAATAAATTAGCCCCTCATCTTCACACTGAGCGGCCGCAGCATCTGGGCCTCCAGCCCGGCTTCTGCTCAGCTCTGCCCCTGGCTTTCCCTCAACAGTCTTTGCAGCAGAGATAGGAACCTTCTGAAAGGGGAATCCCTGGAGACTCTTTGGGGCTAAGTGGTGTCAGCCATTTTGGGCCTGTGGCCCAGGGGAAGAGCAGTCACATTCAGTTGCACTGTTGGACAGGCCCGTCCACGGCCTTGTTTCATGTTAGGCAGACTTCAAGCTTTCTTTAGAAGACACCGTCATAGTGGAATGCAGTGTCCTTGGCATATGGAGTCACCTGTGCAGGAAGTCAAAGTCTGTGAATATTCACACCTCTGAAGTCCACAGTGTTTCCATAGAACCTGCTCATATCAACCCCCTCTCCCCACATACTTTTATATCACCCCTAGATTATACATAATAGTTAATATAGTGTAAATTCTATGTAAATGATTACTACACCACATGGTCTGGGGAATAATTATAAGAAAGTTGGCTGTGTTCAGTGCAAATGCAGGTGTTTTTCAAAGACTTTTGACACTTACTTGGTTGAATCTGTAAAAACGGCACCCGTGGGCATGGAGAGCTGTGTATCGATGTGTGTCACATACATGTTAATACGATTTGTGAATATGCACACATTTGTTGAAATATTTTATAATATGTATCATGTGATATACAAATACATTTGTGCATGCATTTATAGATAACTTTATATACATTTGTGTGTATGCATGTATGTGTGTATAAGTATATATATGTGTGTGTATGCTGTGTGCATGTATGTTCGTAGGTTTGTGTATATTCATATGTGTGTATATGTGTGAATGTGTGTCTGTGCATATATGTATGTGTATGCATATGTGTGTATCTATGTATGTGTGTATATGTTTGTGTGTGTCTGTGTATGTGCATATATGTGTATTTGTGCACGTGTGTGTTTATGTACATGTGTATGTGTGTGCGTGTGTTTGTACATGTGTTGTGTGTGCGTGTGTATGTATGTGTTCGTGTGTGTATTTGTGTGTAAGTGTGCATATGTGCACATGTACTTGTGTATGTGTGTAAAAGTCTATGTGTGCATACCTGTGGATATGTCCTTGTGTATCCGTGTGCATGTATGCAAACAGATTTTCTTTTCACAGGTGCTGGTCAGAACAGAATAGCTCTAACATAAGTGAAAACTGTTAATTTCTTTGCACCAGCTGTTAGCAGCTGTTCATTTTCTTGTACCAAGGCCTATGTTTCTGGGGATATGTGGCTAATGAAATGAATGGAGAAATACGATTGTTGTCTCTGTTGATCCCATAGCATGGTCTACAGTATTACCCAGTCTCTGATTCTTTATTTGATGCGAGCACCAGCCACCCTTTGCTTCATCTTAGACGTACACAATTGATCACTTTCTGACTGACTGTCAGGCTGACTCTTGGAGTATTTGCTGCCCTGAAACACTTAACAATTCCATTGTCAGTCAGTATACTCAGCCTTGAGCCTCTGTGTAGACTGACAGGTTCTTGGAGATTCTTAACTAGCCAAAGTTGGGCAGATATCACTATGGGATAGCACAATAAGCTAGAATTTGCCTCTCTTCCCAAGAATGGCTGGACTGCACGGAAAGACCATGCGGTTCCCTGCTCAGGACAGGCCTGAGAGCCTGCAGGGTGGAGGGTGAGGCACTCAGCCATGCTGCTCAGTTTCGGTGCACATTGGTGAGCATTTCTGAGTCTAATAAATGACTATATTAGATGTTTACTTTTATAGTTAGGTTTATATCTGAAAATCAACTATTCCTGGGACTTTGTAAGTCTTTTCAGAGAACTCTGTCATGAGAAGATCGCATTTCTAGTCAACAGGCTAGCTCAGACAGACTCACGGTGCAAGCTCCATCCGTGCAGTAGCCTTCATCCCCATCTGAATTTGGACAGATAGCAGCTTTCCTGGACAAGACACGTGGTCAGTGGAGTGAGCTTAGGATCCCAGGCTCTGCCGGCATTGCGCTGGCCTCTGAAGTCCTGGTAGCAGGAATAGTCTGTTTCACGGTGCAGCACCAGGATGTGCGGCCGGATGCCCTGTTGCTGGGTGACAGCGACCCCTGTATTTTTGTTTAGACAGAAAATAAAGAATTGAGCAGATTCCCAGGTGAGGTCTGTAGGTGACATCCTTTCATCTCTGGCTTTTTGCACCTTGCTGATGCTACCTCGTTAAAATGTCTCCTAGAGTGACTTAACTGAGGCAGCTGAGCCTGTGTGGGCTCCTCTGAGAATACGTGTACATGTTAGGATAATGGTCATGCATGCTCTGATACATGGAGGGTTTTCCACCAGACAGTCAAATCGTAATACCCAAAGCCTTGAGAGCCCCCAGCTCCTTGGCCTGTGTTTAGTGGAAAGAAAGGGACCAGATGCAGGGCATAATTCCCCATCCTACTTGTCCTTACTGGGCCAGGAGCTGTTTAAAGGACTTATTTTGCATAATGAGTTTTCATTCAAGGTGTGCTTGCACATTTGCTGTAATTAGGCAGTATTATTACATTTGCAGTGGGTTTTAAAAGTTCTAAGGCAGACATTGGCTCTTAGAGGCTTTACATTTAAAACTGCGCTTTCCTCCCAGAAGAAAAATGTAAAAATAGCAATTAGAGTTAACCTGCAAAGTGACACGGTCCAGAAGAATGCTTCAGATTCCATCCAGGTTCTCCAGTGTGCTAAAATCATTAGGGGATATACTGTCCTCTTGGGACCTGTTCAATGCTTTCTTGGACATCAAAGAGAATGGGATATGTGAACTTAAAAAGTAAAGGAACATGTCTTTGGCTCTGGCCCTTCCCTGTCGGACACACTTCCCAGCTTCCTGAGCACCTATGGATTAGGACAGCACGTGCAAGTGAAAATATTTCAGAAGATTCCGTTGGTGCCCTAACTTGACGCAATCCTCCTTGCATGACAAGAGTGTGTTGTTTGGCAGCCTGAATAGTTTAATATATTTGTCCTCTGGTGGCAAGAGCCAGTTCCTTTTGGGTTGTCTCCTGCCTTGCCCTCCTCAACAATAGACTCTTCTGGTAACAGGCTCTACTACGGCTAAGGGGATAATGACCAGCCGACAGACACTGAGAGCTAAATATTCTACCAACTTCCACCCTTTACCCTGACATCATTTAGCACTGGCTATCCACTTTTAGACAGCACAAAGCCCCAATTTTGAATTGTATTTAAAATAATAAGTGGAGGGCGGTTTTGCAGCTAGATTATTCTAGACTTTCCTGGTAATGGCTCCTGGGATAGGTCTCCAAGCAACTCAGGTGAGCAGGACGGGTGGGCCATAAAATTAAAGCTGGAGCAAACTGGAGCAATCAGTTCTTTGGAGTTAAAAATAGCTTCGTACTGAGTCTCAGGGGTCCAGAGAAGGCTGTTTGTGTTTGTTCACACCCTGCAAAATGGAATCACTGGCCATGAAGCAATATGTTCTGAATTAACTCTCAATCTACTTCAGGGTTGGGGTGACCCCAGCAAGGATCTGATAGTCAGGCAATTGAATGGGAAGTAGGCTAGTGACATCCCCAGGAGACTGTGTGGGAGATGAGCTGTAGCATGGGACAGAGTGGACAATTATTTTAAGCTAATTGTACACTTTGGTGTAAATTAACTTCTCCCAAAGTGAAACAATTCCAGAGAGCCTTCTGGAGGTATCTGTGGTGTGTGGAGTACCTGCCCCAAACCACAGAGCTAACAAGCCAGTCCTCCGTTGAAAAGGGCGAAGTGCCTTCCAGGGGGTGTGGCTTGATGGGGGAATGGCATAGCCTCTTCAGCGTGGGGGTGCTGAGGCAGGTGGGGCCAGTGTTTTGCAGGCTGAAGGCTGTTGGAAGTCAGAAGAAGTTGATGGAACCCTGAAGAACCAAGTGATGCAGTTTCTTGCAGTTTGAAAGTAATGAAGTCTGCCCCTTGGCACACACTTGATGCAGACTGCAGGCAAGGGGTTCGTGGCTGTGGAAAGAGCAGGACATCTTTTGCTTCCCCTCTCCATCCCTAGAACAAAAGACACTAAGCTAAGCATACGCCCAGGGTCCTTCTAACATTTGAACAATGGCCCTCTGGTTTTAGGCTCTGTAAGTGTTGAGAAACTGGAAATGCACACCACAAGATAGACATCTCCGTGTAAAGGAAATGCTGACAGTTAAATTATCAGCTGTTACAAACACAGCGGCTTAATCATAAGTGAGAGCAGCCAGGCATCACCTACAGTATAATTGATAGCAAATTCACCTCACACTTAGGAGATGTCCGGGTTTATATGTCAAACCAAGATGAGTAAAGCTGTTTCCGTATCGGGCTGAAATGTTTTTATAACTCCAGGTGTTTAGTACATACAATTTGAAAGGTGAGAATTGGAGAAGTAAATTGATATATCTGATTGCATTCTGATGCTTGTTTAGGGAAAGATTTGTAAGCTGTGAGAGTTTTCCTTTGTGTGTGGGGAAATGGGGACAAGTCAGTTTTTATGCAGCTCAGCACTAGGTTGTTGAAATCTGACCTTTGTTTTTGTTGCTTTCTAGGATGACTATTTCAGAAACTGGAATCCCAACAAGCCCTTTGACCAAGGTAAAGGATGCGTCGTTTCTAGCCATACACAGCACCAGAAATGTCAACCTGGTTTCCCTTCCTTGCATGCAGAGCCGATTTTCTTTCTCTTCTTCCTCCTTCCCCTTCCCTCCCCTTCCCTTTCCAGTGCCCCCCCCCCCCCCAGGAGGCTACCTCTCTGTCTTATTTTATTGACTTTGGGGTCTGAATTAAGCAGGTGGTAGAAATTATTTTATCAAATGGGATATTTGTCTGAGGTTATTTCTAGACAGATTTAAACAGTTTTTAAAACTCGAATCAGCGAGTGCAAATATTGATTGGTTTTGTTTAAAAAAAATAGTAAAATGATTATCATGCTTGTGAATCATGGGGCTGGCTGTACCCAGCGGTTTTATTCGTGGAAGGCACTATGCTGACAGATGTCCCCATTCAATGATGGGGAAAAAAATAATTCTGGGAGATTTCTGAGGACACTTGAAATCATTTGTTAAATGTGTCCCTTATGGATTTTATTTTCAAAAACTATTTATTGTGTGTGTGTGCTCACATGCATGCACACGTGTGTGCCTATGTCCTCACACATACCCATGTGAGACCGTCAGGGGTGACTCTCAGGAGTTGGAGCCTTCCTTCCCCATGTGGGCTTCATGGTCACACTCAGATCACCAAGATTGGCGGGAAGCACCTTTCCCCCCCTGAGCTACCTGGCCAAGCACTGTCCTCCACAGCCTCTGAGTAGAAGCAGTCGAGGTGTCCACTCACAAACAGGTGCAGCTTAGCCTTGTCCCACTCATCCTACCAGACACAGACCTGCTCTCGTGGGGGCAGGTGAGACACTAGGACGCAACAAGGACCTACTTTGAACTGCTGCCCTGTCCCTGTTGTCCCATGAGTGGAAGCTCTTGGCACACTGAGCTCTTTCCATCACTGCTGGAAATGATGCTGAATTGTGCTGTGGGTGTGTGTGCTCCATCAAGCCTGAAGCCCAGAGGAAACAGGCTACTCTGCACGCTTCCCAGGGCGTGTGATTCAGAGCTTTGGCTTTGGCTCAACCTCTCTCTGGATTCTGCCTTTTCTCATCGGCGAAAATAATGTTCCAATTTTCATGTGTGTTTATTTCAAAGCTTGAAGTAGTGCAAAGCAACATTTTGTTCGTGTCTTCATGCCTTCATCTATCTATCATTTACCTACCTACCCATCTGAAATATTTATTACGCTCTCATTGTTTTCACAAATACCACGCCAAAACACCGAAGAACAAACGAACCATGGTTAGTGTCCCCCAGGAGTGAGGAGCAAGGAGAAAGAATGATCCCAGTGGGGCATGTTATTGGCCGCAGTGCAGGTGTGTGCAGGGAAGCATGCATGGCTGTGTAGGGGGCTGTGTAGGGGGCTGTGGCATGATGGGACTTGTGAGTCTGTATGTCGTAGGGGATGGATGGAGGCTGTGTGTGGGCAACTTTCCTTTGTAGGATTTGCCTGGGTTGCATGTGTGTTCAGGGGCTTGTTCCTGTACAATCACTACATCACTACAAGAATTCACAGTAGCCTATATGAAGGATTAGTCATCTATGCTAAGCATTCCCTTAAGTTTTCAAGTGTTTTTAGAAGACGAAAACTTCATTTATGAAAAATACTCATAGCTGCAGAGTGACACAGCTGTGGCCTGTGTGTGATGGGCGATTCTAGCTGAAGATCTCCACTTCAGACTCCTGATGTGACAACAGCTCCTGATGTCAGCTTCATGCTTAGATGTATAGATGGGCTTTAAGTTCTAGTCCCCAAGTTCTAGTAGCCATCAGATTTTCTCCCTCCCAGGATTTTAGACATGAAAATTCTGTGGAAGGAAGACACATATGCTTGTGTTAATGCACTATGGGGAATATATAAAGGCAAGCGCCATTTGCCACCTGGATATATAAATGATTACTCCTCTTACTCCAATGGTCACACAGGGACCTTGAGTCCCAAGGGAAACACGGCATTTAAACCTGCTTAGGCAAGATCTCCAGACATGGGTTTTTCCACTGTTCCGAACGAAGCTCTGACCTGTTCTCTATACCTGGAAACTTGGGTCTGCTGAGAAGAAGCCTCTCCCCAAACCTCATGATACTTAGAGGTCCAGCTGAGAGTCCTACTTGGTACCTCGGTGTGGCTGCTCTGGTTCTTTGTACACATGGCCAGGGGGGAGTTGTGAGGTAAGAATAGCCTTCACTTAAAATAGCAGCTCCAGCAGCTGCCACTGATTACACTGTGTGCCGCTTAATAGAAATGGGTAGTCGCTAACGGCACCAACGCTACATGGTGAAATTCAAGCCACAGACACAGACACCATGGGGCATTTCATCATCTTCTAGAAAGTGGGAGGATTACTGAACTCCACAGAAACAGTCAGAAACAAGAAGCCGCTTCCATTGGTCCGTGTGTGCTCTAGGATGCTGTGATAAGCACCACTGCATCTTTGGGGAGGAAAGTCACGATAGGAACTCAAGCAGGAAACTGGAGGCAGGCACTGAGGCAGAGACCATGGGAAAGCTCTGCCTACTGGCTGGATCCGCTAGCACCATCACTGTAGGAACAGAACTACCCACAGTGGACTGGCAAAAACGTGCCTAATAGACATATACAAAGGCCAATCTGCTGGAGGCAGTTCCTTCTTCCCAGGCAACATCAGTTTGTGTCAAACTGATAGAAAGTAACCAGCCTGCTTTGCTGAACAGGGAAGGATTGAAGTCAAGGCTGGGTGTGCCCTAGCCACTGTAGCCATCACTGTGTGAATGTCGGGGGTTGTGTCTGGATCCTTGGACCCCACAGATGAAGGAGCAACCCGAAGTCCCTGTGCTCCTGAAGCTGACAGGTGGTGGGGGCAGCAGAGTCCTCAGGAGCTCATGGGCCAGCCAGCCTGGTGCACACAGGGCCAACGAAGAACCTGCCTCAAGGAAAGTGCAGTGCAAGGACCAACATGGAGGTCATCCTCTGACCTCCACATGACCACTGTGGTACACACATAACTACACAGGTGTGTGCAGGACACACACAAAAGCACACACTCATGGTGGGGGTGGCAGAGGGAAATAGGGAGTTTGAAAATAGGCTTGTATCAGGGAGGTATTTGCTTGGCACAGAAAGAACTTGTTGAAAACCATGCTCAGAACTTATAAAAACTGCCAGGTGTCCAATACTGGTCATGGGGACAGAACTAAGAGAGGGCCTCTCCTGGGGGGGTATGCGCAGTTCAGAAGTGTAGAGTGTGTGCTCACTGGTGGGTGGGGCCATGGCTGGGAGCAGGGTGAGTTCTGGCTTATTAAGAAAGCCGTAAGCTGCACTGTGTTTACCCAGATGACATGGCTCCATTGTTGTGATTTTCTTCTGCCCCAGTTTGGCCTTTCAGGGTCTGTGCCTTTTGTCCATGGCTCCGGCTCCCTGCTGCTGTGTAATCGATCCTTTGGATATTAATCACTTCCAGTGCTGTGTCAGGAGTGTCCCATTCTCTCTTTCACCTGAGGGAATGGGCTCCAGGAGGACAGTTGTCCATGGGGTCCAGAGGAGAAAGAAAGATACCCGGAACTACGATGCCATCATTAAGAAAATAAAAGATGCAGCAAAGGTTGTGCGTGTGTGCATGTGTGTGTATGACCCACTCACTTTAGAATGTTTAAGCTGCAATCCTGATGACCTAAAGATGTCTCAGAGTGATGGAGCCCAGAAAGGCTTAGATCTCTGCTGTAGGGTGGTCCCCTCAGGAACTAGGCTGCCAGTTGATGCTGGTATGAAGTAGGAGGAATAGCCTCTGAGACTCTGCATGGGACCTGTCAGAGACAAGCGGACTTCTTTCTAGAGAAAAAGACATGGCTGTCTCAGGGATAGCAGGGTCATTGGAGGTGGGGATGAGGCTGCTCAGGCAGTGAGTATGCATCATTCTTGTCTAGCCAGTGGCTGGCTCCCCCCTCTGCCCATGCAGGTGGCTTCAGAGAACATGGGGACATGTACCCACAGCTCTCCAAGTTTTAAAACACCCAGGGAGTCAGGAGCCCCAATCCCGCATGCTGTTGACTTGATGGCAAGAAAGAAGAAAGCCCTGGAACTTTGACTTCATCTGCTAGGCGGCCATTTCAACACACTCAAATCTTGACAGAAAGCACAGATCCATGTGAGGGAAAGTTTTGCAACCAAGAGGAGAGGATTCTTCCCATTCTCTAGCAATCTTCTGTGTCCTGGAGGTGGTGGGGTGCCACGGCATTCCTTATTGCCAGGCTGAGAGAAGTGTGGGGACAAGGTGGCTCACTATAATGTTGTTTGGAACTTTTCCACTTAGATGAATCCAAAAGCTTACGTGTGGGGCCAGATAGAGATGTGTAGTGTCTGGCCTTCGTCTTGGTGTGGAATTTAACATCTCTGCCCCCCCCCCCCCACACACACACAGAATCTTGGATTTGCATTCATTGGGCCTTGGAAAACAGTTTTTAAGGCTTCATTCACCTCCTGAGAGCCTGGGAACTTCTGTATTTCAGAGGCAGCTGGCCTTGTTTGTGGGAAGCCACGCCCGCTAGTTCCTTCCCCCCCCCCCCCCCCCCGCTACCTCACTTTTGGAGGAACAGGCTTCAGTCTCTGTTGCAACTTCAGGAAGGTGGTTCCCCAACCCGACACTTCTGATTCTCCTACACCCTACCCCACCCCCTCTGTACCTCGCTCCAGTGAAATTAATTCTTCTCTCCTCATTTCTTGGATGTCTTGACTCCAACAATGAAATAGCTATCTTTTCTTTTTTTAAACTGGAGGATTGATTTCTAAATGTTGCCACTCAATGCGGGCAGGAAAGAGAACATCATTAATTCAAATATTCGTGTTCTTGGGTCTAACTCCATCTCTCAGCTTTGGAATTGGATCAGGTTAAAAGTTTGCTCTTTGCTCTGCCTGACTTTGCTAGTTGTGCTTGTCCAAAAGAGATAAGCCATCAGATGTGTAATATTGAAATTGCATGGGAACCTCTCTTGGTCCTAGCTCCCATTTCTATTTTTCTA